TGATGTAGGTTGGATGGGAAAGTGGGATGGTGAGAGTGGATAAGGGTTTCGATTGATAGGGGAGGCGGTGGAGGAGCAGCAAGAGATGGAGGCGGTGAAGATGGTGGCGGCTGTGACGGTGGAGGAGAGAGAGGAGCATGGTGGAAAGAGTAAAGTGAAGAGTGAGAGTTACGTGCAACGGCTACTGTACTGTGGAAAGAGAGTTTTGAAAATGGGAGGGGAAGGGGAACTGCCTATTCAAGGTATGCCGGGAAGGATAAGAACCCTTCTCTCATACAAGAATGAGTCAATAAATTAAAAACTTTTAAATTTTTAAAATATTTTTTTATCATCTTTTATTTGTAGTTTGCTATTTTACTTTCAATAGAAAAGACTTATGAAACATCTGTGAAACCTTTAAAATTGTAAAAAAAATAATTCATTTATATGGTTAGGAGTAAAATGAGTTTTAAGAGATAATATTTTGGAATTTCATAAAGATTTTATCATTTTTTTATTTTTTTGTGTATATGATTGAAAACTTACTTAATTGATATAAGATAAATTATTCTCATCTTTTAAGACCTTAATTTATTGTGTGAATTTATTACTATTGAAAATAGACTCTCTATTTTAAAATACTATTTATTACAATTCACGAAATACATAAATTCTGACATTTTAATTCAATTCACTTTCTCGTTTACTTAATGATGTTACATGAATTTTATATCCATTTTAGCTTTCTTGCATAAGAGAAATAATAAGGTTAAGCTTAGCATTTCAAACTCATAATCTAAACAAGCTAAATAAAGAGATTCCATTTTTTTTCCTAACTTTGCTTTGATTTTTTGTCTAAGATTTTATGTTAATCCACTTGTCACTTAGAGTTTTGGGTGCTTTCTTAGTTGTTTCAAAGTAAATTTGGTTTGTTTAAAGTGAGGTTTGATTGTTTTAGCCTGAGATTTGAAAGTGAAGTTGAAAGGTATATGATTTTGAAGCTTGGTTGTTTTTTATTTTAAATTTTTCTTATTTTTATTTGCATGCTCGATAATATAAATCTTATTTACATTATACATTTTGTTATTATTTGAGTTTCATATTTGTTATGAGTTTCAATTCAATATAAATATTGTCGATGTGATCGCAAAGCTACTCTTAGGATATTAGAATATGAAAATAATTATACAAAACTCTATTTTATTTGTCAAGAGATAAAATATGAGTTTTTTCTATTGTGGCATCCAAAAATGGTGGCTAGCATATAATTATTACTAAATAACATTATTCATATGTCCATTAAATAAAACAGCTACCAATATCAATTTTAATTTACCTAAAAAATTACTCGTATAGCTCATGCGCATTGCGCGGGTTACACTCTAGTTATATTTAATTTTCAGTTGAAACCAAGTATGATGATATTTAATTACTAATGATTAATAATAGTTCAAGAACTATTTGATGGAGCAAATTATGCATATATATAAGTAGTTGTGCAGTTAACAATCAGCAAAGTAAGTCATGGGATACTGTTGAAGTAGTTGTAATTAAAAATGAAGGTATGTTAGGTAATCCTATTGCAGATGGAGGAACAGATAATCTACGTCAGTTAGGGAGGCCAATGAAGAATGGGAGATTGGCAAAAAATTGACAATGACGGTTAATTATTTATTGAAACCAACGGTGCATGAGGGTCATAATGACTTGCACCGCTTGTTAGAAGGAAGATAATGAGTGGGAATTGTCGAGGGCTTAGGAACCCTTGGACAATTCATATGCTTCTCAAATATTTGAGAAGTAATGATCCCGATGTAGTCTTTTTAATGGAGACCAGAAGAGATAATATGGAGATGGAAAGGTTAACGTTGCTCACAAGAATGGCTTCTTGCTTGGCAATGGATGTTACGGGACGAGCTGGTGGACTTGCAATGTTATGGAAACAAGGTATTAATCTTTCGATAAAATTCTATTCTAACAGTCATATTGATTCGGAGATAGCTTGGGGTGGGGAAAGTTGCACATTGACAGGGTTTTATGAATATTCAAATGCTTCAGAGAGATGTAAAAGTTGGGACCTTCTTTGATTGCTAAATTCACAAATACGAAGTCCATAGTTTTGTTTTAAGGATTTCAATGAAATTCTATTTGATTATGAAAAAGAAGGTGAATTAGGTAAACCAAAAGCACAAATGAGGGATTTTAGGGATGTTTGTAATGACTGCGAATAACAAGACTTGGGTTTTAGAGGACCATTGTTCACATGGTAGAACAATAGAAAAGAAGATGACTTCATCAAATGTCTCCACGGTGTGACAAATTTCCTTGTGTGGTAGTCTTTAATGAAGTTGTGAGAGCATCGGACCATTTGACCCTAAGAATTGATCTATTTCATTAGAGGAATGTCAGATGGAGGAAGAGGTTCCACTTTGAAGCTACTTGGTTAAATGATGATAGCTTCGAAAAAATAATTTCAGAAGAATGGAGCAATTAGGATCACAGATCCGGTGAGTTTATCGACAAATTAGAAATATCTAAGGAAAAATTGAAGTTGGTCAAAATTAATGTGTTGAAAAAGATAGAGAGTAAAATCTCGATAAAGAAAAATGACCTTCAATAGGTACATGAGTCCTTGGCCCAAAATTTTAATACATCGCAATTCAAAAATATTCAAGATGAATTAAATATATGAGCTAGAGATGAAGAACTGCTGTGGAAGTAAGAGGGCGATGGTTGATTAGCTTTGCAAAGGAGACAAAAACACAAACTTTTTTCATCAAAAAGCTGCAGAACGAAGGAAGAAACTTTTTATCCAATCTTTAAGGAAACATAATGGCGAATGGGTGGAGCAACAAGAAATTGTGCATGAGGATTTTTTCCCCAAACTATTTGCTACATCCCTACCATCTTTAATTGATGAAGTTTTAGAAAGGGTGTTGCCAAGAGTTAATGCGGAGATGAATAAGGGATTCACTAGGGAAGTTTCAATGGAACAAGTTAAAATTGCTTTATTTTAGATGAATCCTATGAAGGCTCAAAGGCTTGATGGTATGCCAGTTATTTTCTTTCAAAAGTATTGGCACATTTTGGGGACTAGATTATACAAGTTTGTTGTTGATTTTCTAAAAGGTCATATTGGTTTCGGCAATTTCAATCACACATACATTGCCCTTATTCTGAAATCGTCTCAACCTGAACAAGTTAGTTAATTTAGACCCATTAGGCTTTGCAATGTGATTTATAAAATCGATTGAAAATCTCACTTCCATATATTGTATCTAAGAATCAAATTGCATTTGTGCCTGGGCTGTTGATCTCAGATAATGTGATTATGGGGCATGGCAAAATTCTAGTGAGGTGGCAGTGGCAAGAAATTTAAGTTACACTGGAAGACTTGAAAATTTATGTGCGATTTAAAACATTTGGGAGGAATGGGTATTAGAGACATAGTTAGCTAAGCAGGGTTGGAGACTTCCAAAGAAAGTGCTTTCATTAGCCTATGAAGTTCTTACGGCTCGTTATTTTCCAAGAGTGGATTTTGTGGTTGCCATATTAGGAAGAAGCCCAAGTTATGCATGAAGAAGCATTAGGGAAAGCCAAGACCTTGTGAAAAGGGGTTCTATTTGGAGAGTTAGAGATGGGAGGGATCTACTTGCGAAGACGGATAATTGGATTCCATATGATTCCCCAAGGCCGGTAGATTTAGGTGATGATTTGGTTAGTGAATTTATGTTGGTTAGGGAATTAATTGATTTGGAAACAATGTTCTAGGATGATTGCAAAATTAAGAGATTGTTCCCTTTACATGAATATGGGTGAATTAAATCTATCCCTTTGAGTTTGGAAGATCGGATGACTCATTAATTTGGTTGGATAATCCTAATGGGGAACATTCTATTAGATGGGTCCAATAGCTAGGGGACATCGCAGAGCAATACCACTT